AACAAGATGAAACCTTTAAAGTACTAAAAGAAAAAAAAAACCGTCTACTTAGAATTCTATGCTCAGTAAAAATATCTTTAAAAGCCAAAAGGCAGGTCGGGCGCGGTGGCTCACGTCTGTAATCCTAGCTCTCTGGGAGGCCGAGGTGGGTGGATTGTTTGAGCTCAGGAGTTCGAGACCAGCCTGAGCAAGAGCGAGACCCCGCCTCTACTAAAATTAGAAAGAAATTAATCGGACAACTAAAAATATATACAAAAAATTGGCCGGGCATGGTGGCGTATGCCTGTCGTCCCAGCTACTCGGGAGGCTGAGGCAGTAGGATTGCTTGAGCCCAGGAGTTTGAGTTTGCTGTGAGCTACTCTAGCCCGGGCAAAAAGAGTGAGACTCAAAAAAAAAAAAAAAAAAAAAAAAAAAAGCCAAAAGGCAAAATATTTTCCAGATACACAAAAATGGAAAGAAAGAATTCATTACCAGCAGATAGATCTTCACTGTAAGAACTGCTAAATGACACCAGTTGGAAAAATGGGCCCAGACAAAGGAATCATGAACACCAGAATGGCAATTACATGAGTAAATATATATGATTTTTTTCTTATTATTTAAATCTCTTTAAAAAATAACTGACAGTTTAAACAAAAATAACAATGTTTTGTGTGGTTTATAACACAGGAAAAAGTCAACTGTTTGACAACCATACAACAAAGACTGGGAGGGAAGTAAAGGAAGATTCTCATATTACACATGAAGTGGTATAATATCACTCAGGGATAGACCATGATAAGTTAAAGTGCATACTTTAAACCTTAAAGCAACCACTAGAACAACAAAACAGAGTTATTATAGTTAATAATCCAACAAAGGAGATAAACGGACTCATAAAAAATAACCCAAAAGAAAGCAGAGAAAAGGGAAAAGAAAACCAGAGGGGACAAATAAAAGACAAAGCAAAGTGACATACTTAAAACTAACCATATCAATAACTATATTAAATGTAAATGGTCTAAACACCCCAATTAAAAGGCAGAAATTATCAAACTGGACAAAAAAGCAAGATCTACCTATATACTACTTACAAGAAATACATGTTTAATATAAAGACATAAAAAGGTTAAAAATAAAAAGATGGAAAAAGATACATCAAGCTAACACTAATAAAAAGAAAGCTGAAGTAGCTATATTAATATCAAAGTAGATTTCAAAGCACAGAAATTTACCAGGGATAAAGAAAGTCATTTCATAATGATCAACAAGTCAATTCACGAAGAAGACATAATAATTCTAAATGTTTATACATTTAATAACAGAGCTTCAAAATACATGAAGCAAAAACTAATAGAACTGCAAGCAGGAAGAGAAACTTACAATTATAGTCAGAGATTTCAATATCGTTCTCTCAGTAACTGACAGAACAAGTAAACAGAAGATCAGTAAGGATATAGAAAAATTGAATAACACTATCGACCAACTCGACTTAACTGACATTTACAGAACACTCCACCCAACAACATAGAATACACATTCTTTTCAAGTATGCACAGAATTTACCAAAAGAGAACATAATCTGGGACATAAAATAAAACTCAATACATTTAACAGGATTCGAGTCAAAGAAAATTCACAGTCGAATTAAATTAAGTATCAATAACAAAAGGCTCTCTAGAAAAGTTTCCACATTTGGAAACCAAGTACACTTTTAAATAACATGATCTCAAAGAAGAAATTAAAAGGGAAAATTAGAAAGTACTGTGAACAGAATAAAAATGAGAACATATCAGAATTTGCTAGATGCTATTAAAGCCGTAATTAGGGGTAAATCTGTAACCCTACATGCCTATAATATAAGAGAAGAAAGAACTCATATCAATGAACTCAGCTTCTACCTTAAGAAATGAGAAAAAGAACATATAAAACCCAAAGCAAACAGAAGAAAGAAAATATTGAAGATCAAAAGCTTAAATCAATAGGATAGAAAACACAAGAGGAAAAATCAGTAAAACCAAAAGTTGGCTCTTTGAGAAGATCAATAAAATAGATAAACCTCCAGTCAAACTGACCAGGAAAAAAATCAAGAGAACACAAATTACCAATATCGGGAATGAGAGGTGACATCAACACAGATTCTATAGACACTAAAAGGATAATAAAGGAGTATTATATTTTTTATCCATCTGACAATTGGGTGTTTAGAATATTTATATTTATATAGACCAATAAATTCAAGAACTTAAATGATTAAATTCCTTGAAACACACAATCTACTAAAGATCACTCAGAAGAAATAGATTACCAGAATAACCCTGTATATGTATCTGTTAAAGAAACTGAATTTCTAGTTTAAAACCTTTCCACAAAGAAAACATCAAGCCCAGATGGCTTCACTGGTGAATTCTACTCAACATTTCAAAGAAGAAGTAAGACCAATTGTACACAAGCTCTTGCAGAAAATTTAAAAGGGAACACTTTCCAACTGCTTTTATAAGGCCAGTACTACTCTGATACCAAAATCAAAGACATGACAAGAAAATTACAGAATAACATCTGTCACGAATACAGATATAAAAATTCTAAACAAGGCCGGCACGGTGGCTCACGCCTGTAATCCTAGCACTCTGGGAGGCCGAGGCAGGCGGATTGTTTGAGCTCAGGAGTTTGAAATCAGCCTGAGCAAGAGCAAGACCCCGTCTCTACTAAAAATAGAAAGAAATTAATCGGACAACTAAAAATATATAGAAAAAATTAGCCGGGCATGGTGGTGCATGCCTGTAGTCCCAGCTACTCGGGAGGCTGAGGCAGAAGGATTGCTTGAGCCCAGGAGTTTGAGGTTGCTGTGAGCTAGGATGATGCCACAGCACTCTAGCCAGGGCAACACAGTGAGACTCTGTCTCCAAAAAAAAAAAAAAAAAAAAAAAAAAAGAATTCTAAACAAAATCAAATCAAGTGGATTTGCTAAATCAAATAGCTTAAGCAAATCAAATTCAACAATATGTAAACAGGATAACACATCATAATGACATGGATTTATCCTAGAAATCCTAGGTAGGTTTAACATTCAAAAATCAATCAACAGGCTGGGCATGGTGGCTCATGCTTATAATACCAGCACTTCAGGAGGCTCAGGTGGGAGGATCACTTGAGTTTGAGACTAGTCTGGGCAATAGCAAGACCTGTCTCTACAAAAAATTTTTTTAAAAATTAGCCGGGTATGGTGGCATGCGCCTATAGTCCCAGCTACTCGGGAGTCTGAGGCAAGAGATGGCTTGAGCCCAGGAGCTGGAAATTGCAGTGAGCTATGATGACTACTGCACCCTAGCCCAAGCAACACAGTGACACTCTGTATCAAAAAAAAAAAAAAAAAAAATTCAATCAGTGTAGTTCACCATATTAACCAACTAAAAAAGAAAAACCATATGATCATCAACAGACACAGAAAAAATACGACAAAACTCACTATCCATTTCTAACAGAAATTCTCAGCAAATGAGAAATAGAAGTAAACTTAATCTAATAAAAAGAATCTAAGAAAAACCCACAGTTAACATAATACTTAGTGGTAAAAGTCTGAATGTTTTCCTCCTAAGATCAGAAACAAGACAAAGATGACCTGTAAGGCTGAATAATTTTTCTTATGTATTGGCCATTTGTTTTCCTCCTACAGTGGACAGTCTATTCTTCTCCAATGTCTGCTTTGCTACTGGAGTTTTTTTTCCCCTGATATGTAAAAACTTCAGTAAATATTAAAGATATTAACCTTTTGTTAATCCTATCAGTTGTAAATATTTTTATCCCAGTTTGTTTACAAACCTTCTATTTTTAATATATAAATTTTATTCCAATATAATCAAATATTCATTGTGAATTATTCCAATCCATATATGTAGCCACCTCCTCTTTGTTTTTATTATTTTTGATGATTTCATTTTCTAACTCTTAAAAATGTATCCAATCCTAGCACTCTGGGAGGCCAACGCAGGAAAATTGTTTAAGCTCAGGAGTTCGAGACCAGCCTGAGCAAGAGCGAGAACCCGTCTCTACCAAAAATAGAAATAAATTAGCCAGACAACTAAAAATATTTAGAAAAAATTAGCCAGGCATGGTGGTGCATGCCTGTAGTCCCAGCTACTCAGAAGGCTGAGGCAGAAGGATTGCTTGAGCCCAGGAGTTTGAGGTTGCTGTGAGCTAGGCTGACGCCATGGCACTCTAGCCCCGGCAACAGAGCAAGATTCTGTCTCAACAACAACAAAAAAATGTATCTGGAATTAATTTTGGTGTAAAGTGAGGGTTTAATTTTATTTTTATTTGGACTTGGTAAAGGGGCAAACAAGCCTTCTCCTGTTATGGGTCCAGTGATTTGATGATTATCTTTGCCTTTCTCTAGGACTATAATTATCTCTCTTATCTAAAGTTTTTCTATGTATTTCCATAAGAAAATAAAATCATTAGTAATTTCGCCAGAAAGAGATAATCACAGTTAAATAATATTATATTTTCAATTCAATTCAATAAATATTTATTAAAGGCCAAATACAAGTTAGGCACTAGGAATACAAAATAGAACAGAACAAATACGGTCTCTACCTTCACCGAGTTTACTTATAGCCCCAAAATAAACACAGACAATTCTAAAAATTACCAGTGTAGTGAGTGCTATCAAAGAACTATAGATTTTATGTTTCACACTTTTTAAAAACAAAAGTGTGTATAAGATAAATCTTAACACATTTCTCATTAGTATTACAGATATGCTATAATAATATCCCAGGTATTTATTTTTAATGTACAATAACTGGATCTTTGTCCATCACATTCTCTAATTATTCCCTCTTTCTTCATACATCATTTCCTTAGTATTGGAAAAAACTGGCAGAATAACCTAGTTCCTAGACCCCAAATCACTATTGTTTTATTAAGATTAAAAAGTCAAACTGAATCCAAAAGGTAGAATTCCAGATCTATAAAGAGGTATTTAATTGAGTGCTACAACCTATAAAAAAGTATTTTACCTTCATTATAGGGCACTGGATTGCCAATCTTTAATCCAACTTCTTCAGCTGATTTCAAAACTTTTAATTCCATCAAAATAACTACTCTCCTACAAAGGCAAACAAATAGAAACAAGTTAGAAAAATAAATTCAGCAGCCCTTCAAATGAGAAGATACTTAAAATGTTTTCCTTTAATAATCATTTTTATAAAACTATTTCCCTTTGTAAACTGTTTTTCATAAATATTTCCCTTAATCTTTCACTGCATCATTATCAAGGCGTTTTATGATTGCAGGGTTTTCATTCCCCATCTAGGTCCTTAATTAAAATGCAGTGTTCTTGCTACATACCATATCTTCAAAGAGCAAGTGACACGATAAGAATTTAGATTATTAAACTCAAAAATATGTGGCACAAAAAGAGATGATCTGTTTTCAGAAACATATACCTATCTAAACAATTACTTTTTCTCAGTGAAAACCAATTATTACAGGAGAGATTTTTTTAAATATAATTATTAACTATCTTTAAGAATTTAGGTTCTTTGGCCGGGCGCAGTGGCTCACGCCTATAATCCTAGCACTCTGGGAGGCCGGGGTGGGCGGATTGTTTGAGCTCAGGAGTTCCAGACCAGCCTGAGCAAGAGTGAGACCCCAGCTCTACTAAAAAATTAGAAAGAAAATAGCTGGACAACTAAAAATATACAGAAAAAATTAGCTGGCCATGGTGGTACATGCCTGTAGTCCCAGCTACTCGGGAGGCTGAGGCAGAAGGATGGCTTGAGCCCAGGACTTCGAGGTTGCTGTGAGCTAGGCTGACGCCACGGCACTCTAGCCGGGGCAACAGAGTAAGACTTTGTCTCAAAAAAAAAAAAAAAAAATTTACTGTTCTTTGACTCACGTTTAACTCTGATCAAAACCTTTGGGCTGGGCACAATGGCTCACGCCTATAATCCTAGCACTTAGGGAGGTTGAGGCAGGAGATTGCTTGAGGCCTGAAGTTTGAAACCAGCCTGGGCAATAGTCGAGATCTGTCTGTACAAAAAAATAAAAAATTAGCTGGGCGTGGTGGCGTGTATTTGCAGTCCCAGCTACTAGGGAGGCTGAGGCAAAAGGATTGTTTGAGCCCAAGTTTATTTTTTTTTTTATTTTTATTTTTTTGAGACAGAGTCTCGCTCTGTTGCCCATGCTCAAGTGCCGTGACGTCAGCCTAGCTCACAGCAACCTCAAACTCCTGGGCTCAAGCGATCCTACTGCCTCAGCCTCCCGAGTAGCTGGGATTACAGGCATGCGCCACCATGCCCGGCTAATTTTTTCTATGTATTTTTAGTTGTCCAGATAATTTCTTTCTATTTTTAGAAGAGACGGGGTCTGGCTCTTCTTGCTCAGGCTGGTCTCGAACTCCTGACCTCGAGCGATCCTCCCACCTCGGCCGCCCAGAGTGCTAGGATTATAGGCGTGAGCCACCACACCCAGCTGAGCCGAAGAGTTTGAGGTTGCAGTGAGCTATGGTGACACCACTGCACTCTAGCCCAGGCAAAAGACTGAGACCCTGTCTCAAAAACAAAAACAAAACCATTTTGATAACTTCCCAATGACCTTAGGCCAAAAATAAAAACACTTTATGAGGCTTGCCAGGCTCTGCATGGTGTGGGCCCTGCTAAACCTCTCTCCAGCTCATCCCGTATCATTCCTGCGTTCTCTGGCCATACTGTTTTCTCTCAGTTCCTGGCATATTCTAAGTTCCCTCCTGCCACAGGCCTTTGTACATGCTGTTCGGAGACTGTGCTACTCTTTCTCATTTTGCCTTATCTAAAACACATTTTTTAGCTCTCATCACAAATATCACTATTTCAAAAGTGGTATTTCCTTAATCTCTAGTTTAGATCAGGTTTCTTTGTTTTGCTCTTTCCTATAGCCATGATTTCCTTCCCTCAGAACACTTCTTTCAGTTTTTAATTATGTATTCATTAGTGATTAGTATTATCTATCTCTCCTACTAGACTGTACTTTCAATAAAGGCAGGTATCCTCCAGTGCTTAATGTAGCAAATGGCCCACAGTTGTTGCTTAATACATGCTTGATGAGGCTATCATGATCATGACTGCATTTTAAACAGAACTGCAATACAAAGAAGGAATCTGCAGGGGAACACAATTGGAGGGAGGGAGACCAACAGAAGAGAAGAAATGACCATGGCCTGAATTAGGTTACTGGCAGTGTAGCTGAAAAAAGTGGATGGTTTGAAGCAATATTTAAGCAATAATAAACCCAATTTCATCATGTTTTATTCTTTAAATGGTCTGATTGCTGTATTTTGGATTTTTACACAATTAGTCAGTTTCTGCTACCTTTATCAGGTTTTCATATCAGGGTTATGCTACTTCAGTAAAATAAGCTTGAAATGATTTGTTCCTGAAAATTAGATACAGATTCCCTATAAAAACTATCTGATACATATTTAGTGGAAGATATTTAACTACTTTCCAAAATTATCCAAATCACTCTAGAACATATAAAAATGGAAGGCTTATTTATCATCTAGCATTACCCTAATACTAAAATCTAAGACAAAAACACTAAAAAAAAAAAAAATCAAAAACTAATTTCATCCTGTAATATACATACATCCTAAACAAAATAGTAGCAAGATGAATCCAGCAGCATATTAAAAGAATACACCAATATCAACTTACAGAGAATACAGATGACAAGGACATGTTAAATGACTTTACAGGGATGCAATCAGCAAAATCCAGACAGTGGGAAACTACATGAGGTAAAGGACAAATGACCTAGTTTCTTCAAAAAATAAACAGTAAGGGAGAAAAAAGATATGGAGGCAGAATCTGCAGATTCAAAGAGACTGAAGGGACTATCAATCTACTGTAATGTAAACTTTACTTTGGATTCTTATTTGGATAGAGTGTATACATACACACACACACACACACACACACACACACACACACACACACGAAGAGCTGGAAATTGAACACTGACAGGATACTTGTTATTTTAGGTGTAAAATGGTACTGTGGGTTTTTTTTTTTAAAGTCCCTATCTTTTGGCAGGGCATGGTGGCTCACACCTGCAATCCTAGCACCCTGGGAGGCCAAGGCAGGAGGATCGCTTGAGGTCAGGAGTTCGAGACCAGCCTCAGCAAGAGAGAAACCCCATCTCTACTAAAAATAGAAAGAAATTAGCCGGACAACTAAATATAGAAAAATTAGCCAGGCATGGTGGCACAAGCCTGTAGGCCCAGCTTTACTCAGGAGGCTGAGGCAGGAGGATCGTTTGAGCCCAGGAGTTTGAGGTTGCTGTGAGCTGGGCTGACACCATGGCGCTCTAACAGCCACAACAGAGTGATACTCTGTCTCCAAAAAAAAAAAAAAAGGTCCCTGTCTTTTAAAAATATATACTAAAATATTTACAGATGAAATAATAATGTCTGACATCTACTTCAAAATTATAGAGGAGCGTAAACGTGGAATGGATATAGATAAAGCAGGACTGAACACTGGGTGATAATTTGGAGCTGAATGATGGACTGTATGGAGACTCATCATACTATTGTATATTCTGTCTACTTTTGTAGATGTTTAAAATTACCCAAAAAACCAGATTTAAAAAAAAAAGAAAGAGAGCAAGTTAAGAGGATTATTTTTTTAAGACAGTATTCACTGTAGGAAGGAAAGAATAGTTCAATATTAGATAATCTATTAAAATAATTCATTATGTTAAAGGATTAAAAATAATGTGATTATACCAAGATGCAGTGTAAAAGCTTTTGAAAAAATTTAAGAGCCATTCCTGATAAAATCTGGAGTAATAGAAGGACCTAAAAAACTTTCTGAACATGAAAAAGTGCATGTGTTTACATGATAAACACTATGTTGGGCATTGAAACTAAAAGCATTTCCATTAAAATCAGAGTAAAAAAGTGGATGGTTTGAAGCAATATTTAAGCCATAATAAAACCAATTTCATGTTTTATTCTTTAAATGGTATGATTGCTGTATTTTGGATTTTTACATACAAAGATACTTAACTATAAACAAGATACGTGCTGACACTACTGTCCAATAATGTTTTGAACGCAGCAGTAAGAGTAAAAAAAAAACCCAAAAGCCAAAATAAAGGACAAAATTATTAGAATAAGGATATAATACAACTGTGTATCTAGAATAAGGATATAATACAATGGTGTATGTAGAAAATCCAAGAGACTTTAAATGGACACATACTGTTTTCTTGGATGAAAAGACTTAATATCAAATATTATATAAATTTAATACTATTATTTGCATTTCAACAACTTTTGCTTGTTTTTGGAACTTGGTAATATAACTCTAAAATTTATATGGAAGAATAAACATGGGAACTGCCAAGAAAATATTGGGAGGAAAAAAGTAAAGGGTGACACACTGCCTATACATTACTAAATATTCTACAGATTTTTTTTTTTTTTTGGAGGAGACAGGGTCTCACTGTGTCATCCAGGCTGAAATGCAGTGGCATGATCATAGCTCACTGTAGTCTCAAACTCCTGGGCTCAAGGGATCCTCCCCCATCAGCCTCCCGAGTAGCTGGGACTATAGACATGCACCACCACACCCGACTAATTAATTTGTTTATTTTTTTGTAGAGATGGGGTCTTACTATGCTGCGCAGGCTGGTCTTGAACTCCTGGCCTCAAGTGATCCTCCCGTCTTGGCCTCCGAAAGTTCTGGAATTATAGGCATGAGCCACTGGGCCCCAGATAATACTTAAAGTGAAACTCTGTACACATAATTACAAGTGTTGGAGAGGATGTGGAAAAACTCCACACTCACACACTGATGGCGGAAAGGTAAATTTATGTAGCTTCTTTGGAAAATAATCTAGTAGTTTCCCACAAAGTTAATCACGAAGTTATCATTTGACCCAGCAATTCCACTCCAGGACAGATACGAAAGAAATGGAAACATATGTCCACCCAAAAACTTGTACACAAATAGCATTATTCCTAATAGCAAAAACATGCAAACCCAAATGTCCATCAACTGATGAATGGATACAAAATGTATATATCCATACAACAGATTATTACTCAGCCACAAAAAGGAA